TAGCAAATGGCTGCAATATAACAGAGTGAAAAATTTAAGGGGGTCTGAATACTTTCCGTACCCACTGTATATGAATGAAACAGATAAACAAATTCTGACCAGATGAATCATATTTGAAACATTTTTTTGTTTGTTTATTATTATTATCATTATTATTATTAGTAGTAGTAGTAGTAGTACCATATTTTTTATATTATATAATAAATTTAATAATAATATGTATCAATTATATATGACAAATTCTACATAATTACATAATTAATATACATATACACATTATATAATGTATTATAATTACTAGCATGCATATTGTTTTTAATACATTAATATTAATAATAATTGTAATAATTACAGTGACAATAACAAATGTAATAATAATAATAACAATACAAAATTGTATTAAATTATACTTAATTATATAATTAATATACATATGCAATGTATTATAATTATTAGCGTGATTAATTTTTTATAAGAATAAATTTTTTTTAATAAATTTATATGAATAATTGTTATAATTACAGTGACAATAACAAATGTAGTAATAATAATAACAACAATACAAAATTGTATTAAATTATAAATAATTATATAATTAATATACATATACATATTATACAATGTATTATAATTATTAGCATAATTAATTTTATAATAATACAGTTATTAAATTATTACAAGTATTAAAATTGTTATTAAAAATAATAATACAATATTTTATTTATTATACATTATACACACACATTACAGAATGTGTTGTAATTATTAATGTTACTAATTCATTGTTAATATATTGTTATTTTTATTCATACTTTTATTTATTCAAAAGCTGCCATTTTAGCAAAGCAATACAGCAACAAATGGTTGTGCACTAGCACTGAAATTCTTTTCACATCATACTAACAGCAGCTCTTAAAGGAATAGTTCACACAAAAATGAAAAATGTTGTCATCATTTACTCACCCTCGTGCCATTCCAAACCTGTATAAGTTTCTTTCTTATGTTGAACACAAAAGAAGATATTTAGAATTTTGAAGAACCAAACAGTTGTTGGTCCCCATTGACGTCCATAGTAGGGAAAGAAATACTATGGAAATCAGTGGGGACCATCATCTGTTTGATTATGACATAAGGGTGAGTAAATGGTGACAAAAACATTTTTGGGTGAACTATCCCTTTAACATTTGTAAAAACACTGTGCCACACAACCATTTGTGGCCCATTGCTTTAATGAACTCTTTATTTCCAAATCTCAGATGAACTCTGCAGTCATTTCGCTGGAAAAGGAGAAGAACATTCTGGAAACACAGCTGTCGGAGATCAAGGTACTGCTGACCAAATGTGAGGTCACTTCCAGTCTTTCTCTAGTGCATTCAGGAGATCAATTCAGTTCCTGGTTGAGTTTTTTAACTGAACTTCATTTCTTCTCCTGCATGCATTTGCTGGGTATAAAATGGAGCTCATTTCACCTGCTACACTGACTCCACTACAGCAATTACCATAAACATCCTCTTCATCCCTGTGATTGACAGGTGGAGTTGACCATGGTGAACTCAGCACTGCAGAAACAGAAGGAGGAGAACAAGGAGCTGATGGAGAGCCTGGCAGCCTTGGAGCATCAGCAGGTTTGAGATCAAAAGATCACAGAGTCAGATGCACGTCAAAGCAAAGTGCGCTTGTAAATCTCTCTCTCTCTCTCTTTCTCAGGTAACTCATCGTCAGGTAGAACAGATGCTCTGGGACTTGACAGACAGCAAGAACAAACTGGCCTACGAGAAGGGCAAGATGCAGGTCTGTTTCACACAGACAAACACATTTTGTATGTGTGACACGATGCTTGAAGAGTCACTTGATGAACACACACGTTATATGTCAGAAACACATCAGGCTTCAAATAAACAGACTCTGTGTGTGTGTGTGTGTGTGTGTGTTTATGTGTGTGTGTGTGTGTGTGTGTGTGTGTGTGTGTGTGTGTGTGTGTGTGTGTGTGTGTGTGTGTGTGTGTGTGTGTGTGTGTGTGTGTGTGTGTTTACACAGACACGAGTGCAGCAGATGGCTGCTGACCTGAAGACATTGAAAGCAGAATGTACTCAACACTGTCATAGTGCCGTCAGAATGAGAGTCCAAACAGCTGATAAAAACATCACAATAATCCACACCACTCCAGTCCATCAGTTAACATCTTGTGAAGCTAAAAACAGTTTATAGGAAATAAATCCATTATTTAAGGCGTTTAGACACTTCACAGCTCAAATAACCCTTTTTTTTTTTTTTTTTGTATGAAACAATTGTGAGAGTGCTTAAATATTTGCTCGTTTCTGGAGAATGTCTTGCCCCATAGACTTCCATTATAAGTGCATTACTGTAAACATGGTCTTTGTTTAAGTCAGTGATTGTTTGTAGTAACCAGCATTACTGTGTGTTGTGTGTTTGTCAGACTGCAGGCTATGAAAGAGATTCAGAGGCTTGAAGCTGAACTAGAGAATCACGACGCAAGGAGCAATGAGAAGGTTTAACGCACGCAAACACTCTTGATGACCAAATAAACAAGAGATGAGATCGAGGAGTTTAATTGTTTACATGCTCACATTTTTGAAGGTTGAATCTTTGCAAAAAGCACTTGATGAAGCTCAACTGGACAACAGGAAACTTTCCCAGAGTTTAGAGCAGGCCTTACAGGAAAACCACAATGCACAAGACAAATTAAACACCCTCAGCGAGAGGTGAGGGAATGTGAGTTTATGGCTTATGTCCACCATGTTTTCTTGAGTTTACATTATACGTGACTGCATCAGCAGGGAGGCGGAGCTTAAAGAGGCGAGGGCAGAGATTCGGCGATTGACAGAACATGTAGATTCACACAAGAGCTTGCTCAAAAGGGAAAAAGACTCTGGGAGAAAGTCAGCACAGAGGGTAATGTTAAAGAAATGATGTATTTTGATAATTTTGTACATTAATTAGTTATGTCTTGCTAGGTAGATTTTAATGTACAGCATTTACCGGTTTATATAAATGCTTTATAAATACATTTGAATTTTATTCAGTTCTACTCTGATTCAACTACTCCCGTTTTCTATATAGCTGAAGAAGGTGCTAAATTATGCATCGGCAAAGTCAGGTGACCTCTCACGAGCCAATCAGGAGCTTGGAGAGAAAGTGTCTGAGCTGGAGAAGCTTATATCCCATCAGAAGTCTCAATTGAATCAGTATCTGGGCAACAGAACAGCACTGAATCACTCTCTAAGAATCAAGGTGTGTCATTTTACCCACCGTCTGTGCTGGATGCAGGCTCTCTCACTGTAGTAATAACATCCCAGAATACACAAACTGAGTTTTTACATCGTCTTTGCCTTCACGACAGGATTTGGAAGCAGAAATTAAAAGTCTTGAAGAAGCAAAGGACGAATATAAGAGGAGGAGTCATGAACAGGTATATGTTCAAACCTGTTTATATACAAACAAGGGAAAATTGCCTCTCTAAAGGTTATGCTAAATCAAATATTTTCAAAATCCAATAGCTGATGTTTTTTTGAGTGACTACTCTGTCTTAACCTAATAAAGAATTATGTATCGTATTTGATAAGTGACTTTCTAAGGCCTCTACATCATTTACATAATTAATACTGCCCCAGAAAAACTTTTCTGTAGGATCTACTGCATGTCTTTTGCCCCCTTGAGGATTATCCATGCAAATCAATAAGTAGAAAAGCTTGCAATATCATTTCTAAATGTTGGCCTCCGAGTTGCAATACATGTTATTTGCTCGTTAAAGTAATGGAAAAAAATTACTTTCTTATTTATACTTTGTCACCTTGATATTTAATTAATATTTCATTATTTATAAAAAAAAAAAAGTGTTGAAATGCTGTATTTGAGGTAATACTTTTTAATAATGTATTTAATAGTGTATTATGTTGAGCACAGTAAAATTCATTTAAGTGTTAAGTTTAATTAATTTAAATTGAAATTTGCTTGGCTATATTTAGAGTGCTTTTCAATCTAATACTTTTTATAGTCTTTATATTATACATAATTATTATTACATATTACATATAAATATTCCTTGCAAAATAAAATACATTTAAGTATTATGCATAATTACAGGAACAGGTTTATTTAAAAATGTATCACCTGAATGTATTTTAGAATTTTTCTCTAGTGTACATCTGAAATGTCTTTTATAACCTTTTGTTAATTGTGTACCTTGTATAATTTATTCAGCGATCGCCATGAAAATAGCCTTGATGCTGGCATGGTGTTAAAAAGTGAATTAATAGGCTAAATAAATAATAACAGGAACATTGTTCATCGAACTTGATTTGAAGTTTAACCATAATAGTCTTGAAAAGTATTGTTGAAGGCAGAGAATTAGTACACAATCACTGCTTTAATAGCTTGAGCAGCTTAAAATGTTGCATTTCTAAATTCACCCTTTGAAGCACTGCTGATAAAAAATATTAGAACTAGAAACCAAAGAAAAAATGGGATTATCTGACTATAACCAACTTGCTGGACTACAGTGAACATCCTGACTAATCCCTGCTAAAGATGATATCTCGTGTGTGTGTGTTTCAGTCTCAGTCTTTGCTGCAGCTGCGCTCTGAGATGCTTTCTCTCCAGTCTGCGCTGCAGTGTCTGTCCTCCACTCAGCAGGGGGAGCTTAAGGCCGAAAGAGATCTCAATCACACGCTACAGGAGAAATGCCGGGTCAGCGCTCTCTTGTTCACCTTTAATCTGTGGCGCTGTCCCAAATGTTGACCTCAGCCCTTATGGTCCATGTGCAATTACATGGACTCGTAGAAGCAGGAGCCACAAGTACCCATCCTCCTTTTCTGCCCATGTCCATTTTTCTTCTTTCATCTCTTTCTCAGTTTGTTTGCTTTAGGATTCTCTTTCCATATCTCTTTTTTCCTTCCTCTGTAGCTTGCAGTATCAGCAGGCTACAGTTCCCTTCATCTTTCCTGTCTGTTACGCCCTTCAGGGCATCAATACTGCAAGACCAACAAAGTGCTGGAGAATTGCCATTATGTAAATGAATAATCAGGGGTATTGTGCTGATTGCTGCTGTTATTTGTGTGCAGCACCTGGAAGAGAGTTTGAAACGGCTCCAGGACGAGAGGGATGAGGCAGAAGTGAGACTCGGGGAAGTTTGTCTGGAGTCACAGCAGGTAAACAAACCCCAACAACATCCGTTTATACACTAGCAATAATAATAGAGATATATAATGAGAGAATTTTTATTGTTGAGTAAACTGAGTCTGAATGCTGTTGTGTTTCCAATGATCGTGTCTCTTGTTCCAACATTGTGAAATTGATGCTGGAAACCGTGTCAGATTTTAGGTTGCCGCCTCCTTCTCTGATCACAGCCAGTGTTGAAATCATGCAAGCTCTCCAGAGGATGGAAAATTCTTTGCCTTTGATTTGATTCCTTCGCTTCCATCCCGCTTCTCTGTTCCTCAGATCACAGAGAACATGGATGAGGACCACAGAGGGCTCTGCTCTAAATCTGAGAGCTTTAATGGCCAGACAGAACCACAGAAACTCACAGAGAGCTTGTGCAGGACGGGGAAAGACGCCACACGGTCCACTCCAGCTCAGGTAGCAAATATTGCTATACAATAGGTATACAAAATTCAGGTATACAAAACAAAAAATCAAGAAAATTATTTTATACTGTATTTGGTTGAGATCCATTAAAAAGGCTCCTAAAAATGCAATGATCAATTTCACAGAAGCATTTTTAGAAGAATTTTAACATAAGAAAATACATTTTCAAATGCTTTTTTTAAAAATGGAATTTAAAAGGATGTATTTATTTATTTATTTATTATTTTGATACACTTTACAATTTTCTTCTAAATAAATATACACTACTGTTCAAAAGTGTGGGGTCAGTAAGATTATCTTTTAAGGAATTTAATACTTGTATTCAGCAAGGATGCATTAAATTAATCAAAATTTGTTACAACAGATTTCTCTTGGTTTCCACAAAAATATGAAGCAACACAACTGTTTTTAACATTTAGTAAATCAGCATATGGGAATGATTTCTGAAGGATCATGTGACAATGAAGACTGGAGTAATGATGCTGAAAATTCAGCTTTCCATCACAGAAATAAATTACATTTTAAACTGTATTTAAATAGAAAACATAAATTTTACGTTGTAATAATATTTCACAATATTACTGATTTTAATGTGTTTTTATCCAATAAAAGCTTTAAAAATTGTTTTTCTATCAGTTTTTCCCCCCATAAAATTCTACCAAACTCAGACTTTTAAATGGAAGTTTATATTACAGATACAGAAAAAATATAGATATATGTTTGTCCAAAGTGTCTATTTTTACATTTATATTTAGTCATTTAGCAGACGCTTTTATCCAAAGCGACTTACATTTTTTGAGATTCAAATTCATTCAGCTTGCTCTCAATGACATCTCTGGTCTTTTGTGTTTTTATTCCTGACCTGAAGGCTGTTCTCTGTTTTTAGACTCGCGTTTGCTTTTTTGACCCTGAACTGGAGCCCTGGGCCTCAGCACTACAGCGCTGGGAGATCAAGAAAGAGCTGGGACACATCGCCGGCAGTTACAAACCCACAAGACACGTACGTGCGCTGACCACCTGATAACAGCCTCCACGGAGAAGTGCATCACAAACTCATAGATCATGCATGTAACCGGCTTGAAAAAATTCAGTTATCTATACAGTAGGTGTGTTTGTATGCAAGTACATATCAAGCATATTTAAAACATGTATTTTATTGCTTGAAACTAAAAAGTGCACTAGCAAAAATACATTGTGTGTGTGTGTGTGTAGAAAGACTGCTCATAAAATAAAGTGGAAACAGAGCTGCACTTTATGACCACGTGCCCTAATTACTCACAAATTACTCATGTTAAACATGTTTTTTTCCCTGCAGCCCGCAATAAAGTTATTCAGTTGCAATAAAATAAGGTCAAACTCTTATACCTGCAAAATGAAACTCCAGAAAGTACAAATATAACTGCAAGGGAGCTGAGGTCTTGCTGTAAAAAAGGGACAACCTCTATTATTTTGTCTGTATATTGCGTTATTGTATTTATATAATTGTTTTTATTGGTGTATCTTTTTTTATAGGTATATCTTTTTGTTGTCATGCCAATAAAGCTATTTGAACCTGAAAAGACAATAATATAGCAATTGCAATATAATAGAATTATTTTTTATTTTATTTTTATTTATTTATTATCATTGTATGCTGCTGTGACATGTAAATTTTGCTTAATAAAGTTGATCCAATCCCAAAAAATATTGTAAAAAAAAATGTGCGTGTGTGTGTGTATATATATATATGTATATATATGTATATACGATATCTCGATATTAATCATTCGCATTTTTACGGAACAATATCGATTCTTAAATCCCAAGAATCGATTAGTCTAGCCTGTTTTCAATTAATGGACGGAATATTGAAGGACATTTTCCATCCAATATATCGCAATAAGCATTGTGCTTTGGTACTTTTAATATGAAACGAAGTCTCAGATTTCAAATTCTGTCCATTGTATTGCAGTATTCAAACAATAAATGCCGTTTTGGCGCTGTTTAATGTGGAGTGACACTGGAGCGGCAGCGCGAGGCGCACATGAACTAATCATCTCCTCCACATTAATACCAGTTTCAGCACAAAATAATCATGACTAAACATCCGAAGGCAAGTTAAAAGAAAGAGTACAACTTTACAATCCGTATCCTTTCTCACATAATCGCTCAATCAGTGTTTCAGCCGCGCACAGACGTCAATATAACGTCTTGTAAACAATGCCACGTAACGTCACATTTACCTCAGAAATTAGTCAGATAGAAAAATAAACTGTAGAGGGTCATTTTGCTGCTAAATATATGCCATATAGCATATTCATTATCATTTTTATTGTTCTTCCATGTTTAATTTATGTTTGAATAAATCCAAGTTTTTATGACAGCCACCATTATGTTTATATTTAAAAAAAATATATATTTGAAGTAGAAATATTATGTAATTGTTACGTTCTTATTTTAAAAACTTAAGTGTAATTTTAACAAATCAGTCCATTTTAACCTTCAATATTATAGTAATGTACCAACTGACTCTCGTGTATATTTTACAGCTTTAGTAGAGAGATTTTTTCTTCCTTGAGAAAATTTGTCATGTACTGTACCTGGTATATATCCAAAATAATCGATATAGAATCGAATTGAATTAGTAATCGAATCGAATCGCAAGCTTGTGAATGAGAAT